CGCTGTGATGACGTCACATACGCGCTTTCGTCGACCGCGATTTTGTCGTCCGCGGTTTTGTGGTGGAACCATCTGGTCAGTAGCCCTCTCTCTCTGAGGGTCGTTGGGGCCCCTTGGAGGTTCATCTGTTCTCTCAGGGTCGCCTGAATACAGGTCGCCCTCGACTTACGACCACAGTGGAGCCCAACATCTCTGTTGCTAAGCGAAACCTACGCTAAAGTGACCTTTCTTGCCACAGTCGCTAAGCGAATCCCTGCGATGGCTAAGTTAGCAAGACAGTTGTTAAGTGAATCTGGCTTCCCCATTGACTTTGCTTGTCGGAAGGTCGCCAAAAGGGGATCGCATCACCCCCCCCCCCCTCACCCCCGGGACACTTGCAACGGTCATAAATATGAATCAGTTGCCAATCTCCCAAATTTTGATCCCAGAGATCATGGAGCATGGTTGTAAGTGTGAAAGGGAGTCAGAAGTCCCCTTTTTTTCCAGTGCCGTGATCATTTTGAATGGTCGCTAAATGAACTGCTGTAAGATGAGGATTATCTGTACTGCAGACAGGTGAGGAGGTTTCTTGGGACTGCCGGAAAGACGGTGTTGTAGACTTGGAGATAGATGATGTCGTATCCCCTCTGTTGAAGGCTGTCCAGTTTTGAAATAGATGGCCTCTTTGACCCAGCGGCTTTCTCTGTCCAAAATGTGGTCTTCAAAAGATGACCTTTTGTCTTCTAAATGCAGATAGATTGCCGAATTTAAATTGAACTGAAAAAACACCTTTGGGACAACCATGACCGAGAGAATTTCCATAGATACTTAAGTGGCTTTGCATTTCTAATCTCTTGATTCTAGCTGAGGACATTTTGTAGATGGGATTTAATCCATCAAACAGTGGCCGTAAATTACAGATTCCTGATAAGAAAGCAGTTTCCTATTTTCCCTGGGGGATTTTCACACAATAGCAAAATCTAATTTTATCGTATGACGTCGTCCCTCCCCCCCCTTTATATAATTAGAGCATTCACAGGACACTTCCCTATATTTCTTTCTAATAGTCTCTGAAAAGATTATTCAGTTCAGGCAGATAAGAGGAAGTGGAATGAAAATGAGCAAATGATTTTAATCCGGGGAAACTTTATTTTGCAGGAGATTATTATCCTGCGCTTCATTTCTGTTTCATTCTTCATTGTTCTATCAGGCCATTCTAATTTCAAAGCCCTTTTTGCCTGCAGACATGGAAAAGGATGTACAGGTAATCCTTACAATCACTTGAGCCCAAAATTTATGTTGCTAAGAGAAATACTTGTTAAGTGAGTTTTGTCCCCATTTTACGACTTTTCTTGCCACAGAGTTTAGAATGGAATATATATATATATATAGATATATAGATATAGATATAGATATAGATATAGATATAGATATAGATATAGATAGATAGATAGATAGATAG